CTTTATTTGTTTGCTATTCAAAAGTCTAACCACCAGTATTAAAAGACTACTAAGAGCACATACAAGTAGAAGCACAAGCATCTCCATACTTGAGCCTCACAGCATGACAGGTTACCCTTTATTTTTTCATCTCTGCTTCAAGTAAGATGCTTGGTATTACCCACAGCTACAGCCAAACAAAACACTTTCAGTAACAAAAGTCTTTTCACTAGTTTTAGAAGACTAGGCACTCAACTTTCATGTGGGCAGGAGCACATTAAAGACTGTTCTGCAGCTCTGATCTGCAGCATTTGGGAAAGTAAAGAAATACTGCTGTGCAAACAGACATACCTAAACTACTGTGTTAAGGGCTCCCAGGCTCTGGTTTGAGTACTGTTTCACTCAACCTCCAAGCCCAACACAAACAATTAAAGTCAGATTTCAAGAGCAAAGCCTGACTGGCACATTTAGGAGCATAGGCACCACCAGCAGCCCAAAGCCTGCTTTCACTTGTGTTTATCCTAGGATCTCTCCTGTCAGGCCACTCAAACACCAGTTGCCCTACCGTTCTCACCTGTAATTCCCTGTGTCCTTGGGACACACAATGTTCTTTCCTAATTACTTGTGTGAAAGCTTGAGAGCCACTCAAGTTACACCGTGCAAGATTCATCATCCCTTTTCGGCCCAAGCCTAAGCACCACAAACACGATGCTGTCCCCAGAATAGCAGGGCCACTTGGCTGGGTTTCTGCAGCCCTATTCTTTGTCCTGTGATAGGGGCAGGCAGGCAAGTGCCCTGACCAGCTACAGCCACGACTGACTCTGTTACAGCAACCTGATCCTCAGGGCTACACTCTTTTCTGCCAACTGCCAACAGTGGCAGTGGATCAGACTCACAACTGATGGCAGAATGCATTTAGCATTTTAATTTGCGGTAGCTTTCAAGTATAAGTTTTTTAAAAAATTGTGATTAATTGCAGCATCTCCTCCTCCAGGGGCAGGGTGCTAGTTTGGTCACAGGAACACTGCTAGAAGAGGTGTTTTAACTACACTTTCCCTCTCACTCTCCAAGTCAAGATTAAATGGCTTTGTTGACACAGGAAAGACCATGCCAGCTGTTTTACTATGAAAGGAAAGGAGCAGCAGGGAGAGAGGATGACAGAGACAGTTTGGGATCCAGCATCTGTTATTAGGTCACTGGGTTCCCACATACTCTTGAGGTCAAACTCCCTCCAGTTTCCACATAAAGCTGTTGTTGGCAGAAGCATCCCAGAGATAACAGCTCTGCCTGGACCCAAACTGACCCACCTAGCTCTGCCAAATGACTCTCAAAACACATTCTCCACCACAGTTTCCTGGCCTGACAGTCTGCAAGCAGACCTCTTTCCTGTGATTTCACTCATTCTGTGCACCAAGGAGTTAGAAACTAGAAGAAACCGTAACATTAACCTGGAAGTGGGCTGAAAACCCAGGCTTTAAACTGGTCCAGCTAGACACAGTGATCTCTATGCTGTGAGAATAGCACGTGAAGTATACTTACGCTTACTTAAATAAGCAGATAATATAAACTATTTAACACTGCCATGCAACAAACGGTTAAAGTAGAGAATCTGGTGACTAATGCAGTGAGTGGTGTTTCCATGTTAGGCCCTTGGTATGAGGTGACACACAGAGCAGAGGATTATGTTTGAAATAGCATTTTTTTCGCCTGATACAAGCAAAGCCATGCGGTCAGAACTCAAGATACTTTCAGGAATCTCCCATAAACAGAAGAAAGGAATACCCTCCAGCAGAATTCAGACTCCTGCAGAAATCCAAATGCTGCTAATGTAAAGATGCCATGGTTGCACTTACAATATTCACATCACAGAATTGTTCAGGTTGGAAAAGACCTTTAAGATCATTTGAGCCCAACCATTAAACCAGCACTGCCAAGTTCTCCAACATGTCCCCAAGTGCCACATCTACATGCCTGAAATACCTCCAGGAACTGTGATTCCACCACTTCCCTGGGCAGCCTGTTCCAAGGCTTGACAACCTTTTCTTAATCTCCAATCTAAACTTCCCCTGGCACAACCTGAGGCCATTTTCCCCAGTCCTATTGCTTGTTATCTGGGAGAAGAAACCAACCCCCACGTGGCTACACCTCCTTTCAGGCATCTGTCAACAGCAGAAAGGTTTCCCCTGAGCCTCCTTTGCTCCAGGGTAAACACCCTCAGCTCCCTCAGCCTCTCCCAGGACTGGCTCTCTACAGAGTCACAGATTCACCTGACACAGTACATGTGTTCAGCAAACACCATTTAAGAGAATGCTTTCTGCAGTATGCACACAAGCAGCATGCTAGTGTCTGGTTGTGATTAACACTGCCTCTGAGTAATGCCACATGTTAACAGTCTGTCCTGCTGATGACTCAGTCTGCGGCTGCAGTACGTGTAAAAACCAGATGAAGACAACATCTGAGTACAGTTAACCTACAAGTTATCAAGTGCCACAGCTTTGGCTCACAGCCAGCAGCAGCACTCTGCCTTGCCACGTGGGCAAGTGTGTGTGTGTTCTCCTCACCCTCCTGCACTACCTGTCCACTTAAAGACGCTTGCACTTATTCTATTTTATTTTTTTTTGGTAGGCAGGAAGGCTGTGTTAATCAGCAAGATAAACAAATCCTGTACAGGAGTCATTAACCTTCTTCAAATGCCCCACAACAGTCTCACAGCAGTTTCTGGATGAATAATCTTATTACTGGACAGAAGGAAGTAGAAGTCTAATCTCTGCAAAGCCTCTTATTTGTACTGGGCTACAGCTCAGCCAGACACAAGACAAGAAACTGGGGTACAGGAACAGATGAAGAATGTCTGCTTCTCCAGCCAGGGCTTTGGCTGCTCATTGACAGGTTCACTGAACAACAAACTGATCCCAACGAAACACTTCCTGTCAACAAATTTCATGTTAGAACTGTTTGTCACAAAAGACATTTGTACCCCTCTAGTTCAAGGATGCTACTAAGAAAAGCCACGTTTGTCTTGCAGTTACACAGAACTGAGGGAACCCAAGGACAGCTTCTGAGCACAGCAAGTGTCTGAACCAGGACTGTTAGGAGACTGGGATTTATAGCATTCCAAAGCACCGTGCATAGGCACTGTCCCACCTCCTGCCCACGGAGAACGTTGCTAAGAGTGAAGATCATACACATGCAAAGCCCCAAGACAGCTCAGGTTCATCATTTCCTCTTCAAGAACTCTCCACACAAGCTCCTTTGCATGGACTGAAAAAACATGTCACAGGCAACTACAGAAAGCATTGTTCAACCCAAATGAAGTTACTAACTTCAAAATAAAGAAATCCTAACCTTCTTGACAAAGGCTGCATTTTTTTCCAAGCCTAGTCGGTTAGACAAACAAGGTCTCAAGTCCATTCTGTTCAGCACATCCTCTGTTATCTTGTATTCAAACTAAGGCGATGTATTATCTAATGTGTACTATATCTTGTATTCAACTAAAGAGTTGAAAAGTCCTCCTGATCACCACCATTTCCCCAGTCTGCAATGTGCAGAATTCAACTCCTTACACACACGTGCGACTGAGGTAAAAGTTGAGGCAGCTCCAGATCCCTGCCAGATGACTGCAATCCAGTCAGCATAAATTACAAACCATACAAATCGCCACACACCTACCAAGGTTTCTCCTGTCTCCCAGTCTGCCCTTCTGTGAGGTGGCAGTATTGCTTTATCACGCTGCTCAACAAAACCATGCACAGAGATGTTTGGATGAGAAGGCCACGGCTGAAGCCAGTGAAGCAGATCAGTATTAGCGTGCTATTACTTATTTCTAAAAACCCAAACTGCTGACAGGAAGTCACACCATATTCTAGTCAAACCCAGGACATAAAACTTTCATGAATTCTTTCTATTCTATTTACATTAGATAAGGCAAGTAAGGAGTGGAGAGGAACCAAACAGGTTTAGCCATAAACAAACTGATTTTGACAGATCAAAACTGAACATCACACTGCTGAAACAGCTTTATTTCAAAGCAAAGCTAAAAAACAAGGCCTATGTCATACTGAAGCCTCCCCTCTTCTGTGGGTGGTTGTAGGGATTTTGTCTAGTTTGAATGATCCATCCACTCACTGCGGATATTACGCTATTGCCAAGAGACAGTAAAAAAATTAACAATGCAACCAAGACAAGAAAGCAAATTGAATCTGAGCTCTGTAAACATCCTGGAATGTACTTATTACGTTAGCAATTTATGTCCAGGGCTACAGCTCAATTTTACAACTACACGAACAACAAAATCCCACAAAGCTGTTTAATGCCTTCTGTGTTACCAGTCTGTGGGAGGAGCACAATGAAATCAAACCTTCAATGTTATAAAGCTTGTGCTGGGAGTGAAGATGGTTTGCCCTAGCTGACCGGGAACAATTTCAGCTGAAGTATATTAATCTCCAGCTGAGGCATTGCTGAATTGATCTTATCATCAACATTTACTTCCACAGACAGATCTGTCCCTTTGCTTCCCTCACTCTCCCTCTCTGCCTCTAAAATAAAATAATAAAAAAAAATTTTAAATCACTTAAAAAGTAATACTAAAAGTAATAATTAAAAAATTGTGCTTACAGGCCCAGCCTCATTTGGTCAGTCTTTAAATTTTGAGCATTTGTTTGTTTGTTTTTAAATAGGCCTTGCATGTTTCATTAAGTCAGACATCTTGCTATAGATTTTACACAGCTTTACAATGCTTTAAATGTAACTATATTTAAGTAGCATCATCTTTTCCAAACCCATTTGTCACTGGACACAGAAGCCAGGAACCATATTAAGTATTTTTAGCCATACTGAACATAATTTTACTTCTTGTCCCAGTATCACCATCCTCACAATGCCTACTGAGAAATCTGTAACTATCCCAGACAACCATCCTACAAAAGCAATGTCCCCTGTGCAAAGCAGCCAAGTATTTCAGTTTTTGTACTAGGTAGCTAGCAGACTTTTTGTTGACATTCAGGTGGAAAGAGCATACTTACTGCTAGGAAGAGCATGCAGTACATGGAGAATGAAGAATGGCCAGAGTAAAACGATAGCCTGGAAGAGAAAAGAGCAGACACCATTACTTTTCTTTTACAACATTTAGTCTACAGTGATACTAATCTATCCTACAAAACTGAACTGGTAAAATGCAAAGATGCCCACATGACTCTTCAACAAAGCTATCCAGGCACATCACACACACTTGACAACAGCTTTTGACAAACGGTACAGACTTCACCACTCTGCAGTTATCCTATTCCGGAGCTAAGCTGATCTCCACATCAGGGAGTAACTACAAGCCCTCTGACTAAAGTTTGAACAGCAAACTTTCAAAACTAGAAATCAAGTGTCTTTTAAGGCAGTATATTTGCTACATCTTCTTGATGAATGCCAGACCTGTACCGTGACTACATGTATGAATACACATGACACATTAATCACTCCAAACCAATTACCTGCATTTGGCAGCTATCAAGAGACAGTAGTTAACAACTCATATCTGGATGTTTATACACATGTACACCTATGATAAAGGTACTGATTCATACAGACCATGACAATTTATCATTGAAGGGGAAAGGAAGAGACAGGAATGTAGTTCATTAGTCAGCCAACAGCAAAAGATGACACCTCATCTAGTATTTGTAGAAATAGCTTCATACTTGGCTATCTCACAGAATCATAGAATTTTAGTCCCAACTCCCCATCAGACAAGGTTGCTCAAGACCTCATCGACCCTGGCTTTGAACACTGCCAGGTATGGAGCATCCACTACCTCCCTGGGCAACCTGTGCCAGTGCCTCACCACCCTCATAGTAAAAACGTTTTCCTAACCTAAATTTCCCCTTCCAGTTTGTGCCCATTGGCCCTTGTCTTGTCACTGCAACTCCTAACAAAGAGTCCCTCTCTGGCTTCCTTGTAGGGCTGTTGACAGTGTCAACATTGCCTTCGACTTGTAAAGGCTTCTAGCAGGTCCAGGCTGAAGGGACTGGACAATCAACACAGATAGCCCAGGGTGCCTTCAGCAGGGTCCTCCCCTCCGCAGGTGGTTTCTGTGAGAAGCCACAGCTGTAAAACAAACCTCATCCACCTCTGTAAGAGAAGGTAAAATGGAAAAATATTTCTCATTTTGTCATAAGTGGAAAGACGAAAGAAATTGTCCTTAAGATATCTTTTCCATTTTATGCACACCCTTGTAACAGTGCTGCCTCACAGGCCACCAGCCAGGTCCCAGCCAAGCTTCTGTGCAATTCAGCTATGAAAACAGGGCACTCCTCGCTTAAGAGTTTGGCATACACAAACAAGGCCAACTTAGTAAAAAGTTTCATATCGCTCCAGACTGACCTCCACCACATCCAGCAGGTCCCTGTTTTGGTGCCCCTGCCAGGCAGAGACCCTGAGGCTAGGAAAATTCCTGCTCAAGGTAAACATTTCTACTCTTTGGACCAAGGCTAATGACGGCAGCTCTGATGTGCAGCAAGATAATTGAGTTAAATATACACTACTCAAATACCACAATGAAGGCAATGAAACAATCTCATGCACAAGTGAAACTGCCAAACTTCCTGCATTAATCTGCATTTATAACAAGAAGAAACTGCATCAGAAAAAAACCTACGTAAATTTATTCCGCAGGTTTTAGAGTTCTTGGTTTATGGTTGATTCAAAACACTGCCAATAGCTTTTGGCTTCAGACATACTAAATAAGCAATCTGGAATAAGATGACTTTTGTGTCACCCACTGATATCTTCCAATTAACTTCTTGAGGAGAAAAATTGCACTGACAGTGTGTTATCTTTGGATGTTTAAAATTCAGAACCATCCAGATTACACTGGGGCTAGACATCACTTCTCCACTTTAGTACTTCAACCCTTTACCAGTTGAAATCTCTTGGCAAAAGTCCACTACAAAAGCCAATACAATAAGCATTTTGCAGAGCTCTATCTTTCAGACGAACACGTTATCTGAGCCATGAACACAGCATGCTGCTCTGCAGAACAGAAGATACAGAATAAGGACTTCCTAGCTCCTATGACAATATTTTGTCCACTGGCTTTAGGGATACTCCTGTTGCTCGTGAGATGACGTTTCCTGCAATTCCTGAAAACAACCAGTTGCCAGTTGAAGGAATTCAGAAGGCTAATAAGTGATAAAAGGAATAAATAAAATTCTTCATATTTACTCTGGAATTCCTATATAGTTTTAAGGTGTTACTGACTACTGATCTTTTTAGTTTTTGGAACATATCAGCTTAAGGTAACATTAAGAATGTTCAGCTCCAAGCTAAAGATTACAAAATTTGAGTGCATTCTCATCAGGCATAGATAAATGTGCTGTACATGACTGAAAACATTGTGCTTAGCACATGAAGTGTTGCCAGAAATACAACTGGGACAAAGTATTGATCCAGCTTGCACATTGTGCAACCCCGGAGAAATTTCTTTGGCAGTACTGCTGTCTCTAGATTTCTTTAAAAAACAGACATTTAAAATAAAAAAAATCTTATAACCCTTCCAAACACCCTAAGATTGACAATAGAAAAGTTTCCCAACAATTCATTGGCATGCAAATAACATCTTCCCAAAGCCAGGAGAACATCCTGTCTATCAAAGCAGCCAAGCACTCACACAGCCCAGGCTTCATGATCACACTGAGTGCTGCCTTGCCACAAGCCAGCATTTCAGAAACAAACACATTTTTAGTTAAAAAACCCCACAGTATTTACTAGCCCCAAGAATGAGGCAGAAAATACATTTATAAATAAAATGGTACCTGTATTTCACTAGCGAAGGAAAGGCTAAATTACCCCAGTAAGAATTCACACAGATTCCAGGACATTGTTTTCAAATTAATATTAGAACAGTATTCACTGAAACTGTGGAATTATAAAATAGATTTGGTGAAGTGCAAAATCTTGTTCTGATTGTTTCCAAAACAGTTGAGTCTGACACAAAAGGAACAGTTTTGCATAGATCCATGCCTTTTACTCCAATACCTACCTCACAGATCACTTCCTATGTGAGGAACAACATTTCAACAGGAAAAAAACATAAGCTTTAATTACTTCCACTTGGGCAATATATTACTCCCAAGTGAGAAGAATGCCTTAAGCAGTAATATGAAACCACCTTCAGGTCTCAGTGGAGAGCTACAGTGTACTCCTAGTTTCCAATATATACAGTTGAGCTGGACATCACAAAATGGTTTTAAAGCAAGGTAATTTAAGGGCTGTTTAGCCTTCTTGAAACTTAGCTTTACCACAAATTTCACATGGTTTCCGATAAAGAGAAAAAGTAAAGATACTACAGCTCTTAAGAAGGTTGCCATAAGATTGATTACAGGTAATCACTATGGTTTGTTATTTTAAGTCTGCCTTTTTAAAGAATACCTGGGCAAATAATTACAATACCGACAATTCCTGCAAGAAATGAATGAATTGGAGCAATTATTAATTTTAGGCACCATTTCTAAGACCAGATGAGCAGAACTAAGATTGCCTTACAGGACTTGACACTGACAACCATTTCATTCTGTTCCATTCCTTTCCATACACAAAGGCAGCTTACCCGAGGGAGAAGAGCCTGCCTGATAGGTTACATTCCTTCAATTAGTAGAAAAATGAAACACAACATGCAAATAAAAGGGTCATTTGTCCGAGACTGTCACTTGCAAGAAAGAGCATGTTCTAAGGACTAAGTTCTGCTGGGCAGTATTTTGTTAAGTGCATTATTTCTCAAGTGAATTCCTGCACACAGGAGCTTAGTAAACAAGCTTGATGCCTTGTCTTCATAGAATGTCTTTGTATGGACATGTGCAGAAACTCTGAGACAAGTGCAGGAGTCTGACAGGGAAATTAATAGCCTTAGTGAAAGAAGACTCAAAAACAGCTAAACACATATGGCAGAGTGGAGCAGTAAGTGGTGAGAAATAAAAGTGCTAGAAATGACAGTAGGAAGAGATGAACCACAAGAAAGCACATCCTGTGGTACTACAATAACCTGGCAGAGGCTGAACGATAAAGCAATCTTCCCAATGTAACTACTGAATTATGGAATGATCTCTTAGAGAAAAACAGGAGGCTCAGCAAAACATTATGCATGCTCCCACTTTAAAGCGAATAAACACACCCACCGCAACTAGCCAGCAAGTCCTCTCTATTCTCAGGTTCTCTGGATTCTCCCAATCTGACTCAAAGCTGCCATTGACATTTATCTACCCATTCATGATCTGGAGAGGAGTAAATACTAGAGGGTACTGCAGCTCAGCACAGCTGGGTCAAGTCAGAGAGCTCCACACTCTCATCAGTGAAATATTCCTAGAATTTCAGTGCTATGAGGACATGTTTTAGTAAAGTGCTAATCCTATGCTAAAACTGAGGCACCATATTCTGTAAAGTCAATTTTCTCTGCATTTCGCAACCAACACATTCTCTCAGGACCTGTTCTTTCCGCGAGTGCTGGACTTGCACCTATATGACTTTCATGATCAGTGGGGGGGTTGAAAGGATTAAGGATTAAACACTTCTGTAATTACTGCAGAGAAATGTTTAAGTAAATGTACAAGCAGTTCACCCAACTACCCAGAGCCCCATTTTCAAAAGACAACATTCCTCATTTCTCCACTTTCTTCCCTCTGACAGTAGTTAAAGCCACACTTCAGTACAAAGTCATAAACTCACAGATAGGAAAAAGCTGCCAGAGTCTTTCCAACTCAGTAACCCTCATCTCAAGAATTTTATTTACAAGTGTTTCAACATGAGACCTAACATTTAATTGTAAGTGTCTTGCACAATTCCCCAGTTGTATCTGGGGTGAGTGAGGGGGGAATCAACTCAGTTCTACTTTAAGCAATGGCAGACAGTGAGAAAGCTGACAATGCTGACATTTAACACACACGATTTAATACCATGCCCACTGTTTTTGCAGAGAGTTCCATATTTTTCCTTTTATAGGTTATCTTACACAAATGAAAATTCCCTACTGACATAACCCCAATCTAACAGGCTCCAAGAAGAAACAGGTAGTCTTTTTCTAATTTCTAACCACCTTTTCT